ACCCGGGACCAGGCGGATTTTTTCAGTCGCTCACCAGTCACCTAGCTGTGTTTGGAGATTTATGTTTGTCCTTTGTCCCTCTTGTTCCCCTTCTCCAGGGATTACTTGCGCCAACATAACTTTTTTTTCTTCCTTTATTGCAAGCTGCGCCAACATAACTCTGCCTGTAATGCTCACGCATTCCCACATCATAGGAGAAAGCTGAGGTGCCTTCGTAGTTTTTCATGCACGTGTTATTTTTATTTATGGAAAGAGTTCACGTTCCAGATTGCTTTTAGAGTTTTTGAGCAAAACGAGTTTTCTTAATCCGAGTCACATTCTAGAGCCAGTAGACCGCACTGGGTCGTCCAGCTAATCAAGCAGCTATTTTAAAATTCTCTGACGTGCCCGTCCTCGCATCCGAGTTCGCCGTTTGACAAGCTTGTCTTTCTTCCACCTGGTAGCCGGTACCCCTACGGCAGCTTTGTTCCGTCCCCACTCCCTCTCGAGAGGATGGCTCGCCTCGAGGCTAATCCCATTCTCTAGACGCTCTTTCCATCCAACGCTGGCCCTTTCCCTCCCCGTCCCCCAGCTTCGGGAGAGAAGGTTCTTCCGTGCAGAACGTCCCGTTTGTACAGCGGCCTTTAAAGTTCAAAGATTGCCCTGTCTGTATCGTCCCTTTTGTGTCTCCACTTTTTAATGTTTAAAAAGTATCAACACGCTAAAATAGTATAAATTCCGGGATTTCATTTTCATTCCCCAAGTGTGATGCGGGAACCGCGCCACGAAACCCCGGTCGTTTCCGCTCTTTGTTATCGCTAGGATTTGACAGTGCTCAATCACAATGCAAAACACGCACAGAGCCGCGCTCGCTTTTGCAATGCGCCGCCTATTAACGATATCTCTTGTGGAGACGTGCGCACATCAGTCTTGATCGCGCTGTGCAAGCTCAAAGGCAGAAGTTTCTGTAAAGGCGGATTCACACCGGAGATGTAAGCGATCACGCGATCCGACTAAATCGCATTGCAAAAAAAGAAAGTAATTAGATGGTCAATCTGGCGTGCGCGATGAGCGAGTCCAACGCCTTCGTTGGCGAGTCGCTTCTCAAAAACTCTCTCTCCGAACGCCGTTGATTGGCTCGGCCTCTCCGCGACTAGAGTGCATCGCAAAAAGTCGGGTCAACAAGCGACTGCTCAAATCCCGTCACTTTTTGCCCGCGATGGTCGTTTTTGCGATGAAAGTTATGGCGCGACTAGATCGCATCGCCTGTGTGAACGCGCCTTAATGTCGAACCAGTCTCACGGCGCGTCCCGATATTGGCGTGTGTACCTACGCGCGAGTACAACATCTGGCACAATTTGCGTTTGCAAAGCCTGCTCGAGCCGCGTCAGAACATTCAGCCAACCTTTGGACTGCAGAAATCAAGAGACACCTGAAATAAGATAAAGTTGCCAGCCGAATAAAACTTGATTTCTATTTAATTAATATGAAGACCACCCGCGTACATCAAATATCTAATCAGCCGTACTCCAAGGCAGTAAGCCTAGTTCTGGCACTTGTTTCGCAACTTTGGCCCGTAGCTGCCAGATGAAAGCCGAACTATCGGGAAGCGAAGCCTAACTTGGGCACTCGTTTGGCGACTTGGGCCCAAAGATGCCAGGTGTCAACCGAACTTCAAGGTAGGAAGCCTAACTCTGGCACATTTGTGGCGATTTTGGCCCGAATGTGCCAGGTGACAGCCGAATCATCAAAAAGTGAAGCCTAACTTTGGCATTAGTTTGGCCATTTTGGCCCAAAAATGCCAAAGCTCTGCCGAACTACAAGGTAGTAAGCCCAACTCTGGCACATCTGTGGCGATTTTGGCCCGAATGTGCCAGATGACAGCCGAATCATCAAAAAGTGAAGCCTAACTTTGGCATTAGTTTGGCAATTTTGGCCCAAAAATGCGAAAGATCTGCCGAACTACACGGTAGCAAGCCTAACTCTGGCACATCTGTGGCGATTTTGGCCCGAATGATCCAGGTGACAGCCGAAATACCCGGCAGCGAATCCTAAGTTTGGCACTTGTTTGGTGAATTAGGGCCAAGATACCCAGACTGTTGCCAAGGGAGGTCAGGTTTGGCACTACTTTGGCCTCTTCGGGCTTTTTAATGCCCTAAACTGCCAGACGCAAGCCAAGTTTTGGCCCAGAACTCGGTGCTGCCTGGGACTGCATTAGTTTTCCAAGTACATTATTTAAGAGATCAGTTGGTCGTTCAAAATACCCAACAAAGCCCCTAATCCAAGGATCTTCGTGTTGATCGGTTTAGAATGAGGTTGTATAAATTGAAGCTAGGTCGAAAGCGTCATCTATATGATCTATGCGCTCGTCCGGGCCCTAGACAGGACAGCGTGAGAGTCCGTCTGCGTCCGTATGCTTCATACCAGATTTGTAAGCAACTGCGAAGGTATATTCCTGTAATGCCAGTATCCATTGACCAAGACGTCCCGTTACGTTCTTAAGTGAGGAGATAACAAGGGGCGTTATGGTCGGTGACGATTGTAGAATGGCGTCCATATAAGTACTGTCGAAATTTTTTAATGCCCCGAACGACGGCCAAGCACTTGTTTTTCTGCAATTGTATAAATATTCTCTGCTTTGGAGAGCGAACGGCGGGCGTAGGCGACAACGTATTCGTGCGACGTCTCGGGGTGACGCTGAACTAAAACGACTTAGAGCTCGTAGCCACCGACGTCGATGTGTTGCTCGGTTCGTGCTGCCTCATTATATTGACCAAGTATTGGGTCGGACTTAAGGGCTGTCTTCAGGGCGCTGAACGCGCGTTCACATTTGGGAGACCACACAAATGAGACATGACTTTGAAGATAACGAATAAGAGGAGCAGCTATGTGGGCGAACTGGAGAATAAAACGACGGAAGTAGCAGCACAAGAAAAGAAAACTCCTGACCTGCTTGACATTGCGTGGTGTCAAAAATGCCCTAACAGCGAGTACCTTGTCTAGATAAGGTCTGTCGTTTTCTTTATTAACGAGGTGACCAGGGATCTTAATTTGACGAGCAGCAAAACGGCCTTTTTCGTGTTAAGCTGCAATCCTGCCGTTTTTAGACACGTAAGAACCTCGACGAGGCGGTCTAAGTGTTCCTCATAAGTGCGAGAGAAGACAATAATGTCATTCAAAAAACAAAAACAAGTTTGCCATTTCGGTCCCCGTAGCACGTTATCGACCATATGCTCGAACGTAACAGGTGCATTGCAAAGGCCAAACAGCATTACATTAAATTCAAATAGACCATTAGTTCCAACAAAAGCCGTTTTCTTTTTATCCTCTTCGTTGAGAGGAATTTGCCGATAGCCATATCGTAGATCAAGAGACAAGGAAAATTCTGCACCCTGCAACGTGACAAGTCCATCATCATTTCAGAGAAGGGGGTACACGTCTTTCTTTGTGATAGCGTTAAGACGCTGACAATCAACGAAGCGAATGCTGCCACATTTTTCCTAACTAGAATTGCTGAAGAGGAAACAGGCCGGGATGACGGTATAACGATTCCTTTGTCCAACATAGCTGTTACCTCATCATCAATAGTACGTCGTTCGGATAGACACACGATAAGGACGCTAACGTATTTCTCCTTCGGCTTTTTGTATGGTGTGTGAGACACACGGGGTTCTGCCTAAGGTTGGTGTCTGAACGTCGAAGGAGGATCTGAATGTAGAAAGGACTTAAGAAAGACATGACCTTTCGTTTGAAGGTAAATGAGTGTCCATAGTTTGTAATAAATTGTGAGATAATGTGCAGGGTTCCGGAGGAGGCAACGCTATCACGGACAGAATGAAAGCTATATGAACTGAGTTCTGGTGCTCTGCTTCTGCAATTTCCATCCCGATAGGAAGTAGTATGGGTTGAAATGTGACGTTAGAAGCTGCAATGAGTGTCCTTCCTTTGTGAGCCATAGAGAAGCAGTGCGGAAGTATTAAACCACGATGCAACAAGACACGTGAGAGGGGCGTTTCTAATGCACTCCCCGATAGTGGAGTCTGAGAACCTACTGTGACCACGTACATGACAGGCCAGGTACAACCACATATTCTGAATCACGCAGTTTTGTATCAAGGGCTATTAGAGGAGTCAAGCTATGTGTCGCGTTTCCCAGTGAGAGCTGTCGAGGGTCTCAGTCGACTATGGCATCAGCGGAACGCAGAAAATCCCAACCAAGTATTAAATCGCAGCTACATGACGGCAATACCGTCAACGGAATGCGATAAAAATAACCCTTAATACAAACACGAGCTGTGCAAAGTCCACTGGGGCGAATGAGTTCAGATGCAGCACCAGGTAGTGTCTGCACGGATGGGGGTGTTCTAAGCTTACGAAGCCGTGTGCATATATTTTTCCATATGACAGATATTGCGGCCCCTGTATCGACCAATACGTGTAAGTGGGGCCCTTCAACAATAACTTCTGCAACATTTGGTAGTTCAGTCGGAGGGTGTCCGGTGTTATTGAGTACCGCAGTTACCCCTCCGAAAACTGCGCCGCCTAGTTTCCTGGGTGGGAACGCTCGGCTGACTTTGAAATCATGGGAGAGAGTGAGCGGCGGTAAGAAGGGGAGCGACGTCGAGGTGAGTCGGTGGGGGGTGCTCGAAATGTCTCCGATTAAAACGAGTGACGACGACGCCTTTCGCGGAATCTGTCATCATATTCCCTGGAGTTGTCCCTTCTAGAAGAACGATGGTCGCTCTCGTAGTGGTAGCGAGCCTCATTATCTTGGCGTCGGCGCTGACAAAAGCGAGCTACATGGCCCACGATGTCGCAGTAATAGCAGACTGGTCGCTGGAGGTAAGCTTGTTGGTTACTTTGGTCCTTGCGCCATGGGGTGAAGGGTAGTGCCGGGGCACTTGTGAGGGATGAAACTGCGGGCTTGAACACGAAAGATATCTATGGTTGTTCAGAGTTTGGCGCAGCTGGAGGTGAAGTTTAGGGAAGCACGTTCGTTGGCTGCTGGGTGCTTGTTGTTGTCAATAGTTAGGAGTAATCGGGTCTTGGGTCAGTTCGTGCGCTTGGACCAGGAGGTGGTCCAGTCCGTGCGTTTCCGGGTCACCGCCTGATGTGGTGACGGGTGTTTGCTCCAGCTCTGCGCGGAAGGCGTCCCAGCAGACGACGCTCGTACTTCGTTTCGGCGCCGTTATCTTGCTGCTGCGCAAACGAATGAAGATGGGCAGGTGGTCGCTCCCCCACGTGTCTGCTCCTAGCTCCCAGAAGAGGGCCCGCCGCCGGTTCGTCCATGTGAGGTCGGTTGTGGTGTCGCCCTGGAAGGCGTGCTGGCCAACTCGAGTTGGTAAGTCCGGATCGTTGAGCAGGCTAAGGTGGTTGTCCTCCATTGCGCAAACGAGGTTCGAACCGTGGTATGTGTCGGTCCTCGATCCCAGGCACGTGTGGCGTGTGTTGAAGTCGCCGCCGATGACGACGAAGGCATCGGGGTGCATTTTCCGCAGGTCTTCGACCCAGGACCAGTCAATGGTGACGCTGTTGCGGATCGACGGTCGATCGTATATGTACACCACCACGACCTTACATTGGGGGAGTTGGAGGGCCACGCTCACGACCTCTTGCAGTTGGGTGCACCAGCGCTGGAGGTCGAGCTCGTCGTGCGGGATGAGGGCAGCCGCTAGGACAGCCGCGTTGCCCCTGTAATTGACGCTCTGCGGCGGCTCTTTGCCGGCCGGACCGTTCGGCGTTCGTTGGCGATGCGGGATTGACGGTCGCGTATACGTGTCGTAGCCGGGCAGCGAGAGGTTCGGATATTGGGCCTCCTGCAGAAGCAGCACTACTGGTCTTGTGCCTGCTGGGTAGCGGAGAAGAAACTGCCTTCTTGCGGGCAAAGGTTCTGCAATTCCATTGCAGAAACCACGCTGCCCTCTCCCGGGTCGTCCCGGGTTGCGTCTTAGATTGTGAGTTGGTGCTCGCCTAGGTGGCGTTCCACGAAAGTCTGGCTCCCCAGGACCTGTTGGAGTAGTTCTCTTACCAGTGGATTTAGGTTGTGATACAGAATCATTTCTGTCACTCTGCACTGTTGGTGGTAATTTTGCAGCGCCAATTCACTCTGATTTTCAGGGTATCCGCATTTGCATTGCGTTGGTGGTGCGGACGTTGCAGCCATACTCGGGATGGTGGAGAAGAGAGGAGGCGCAGCAGCAGGAGCGTCCTTCCGTGGCGTTGGCAGCGCCCCCGTCGCGTCCGCTCTCGGGGGTATAGGGAAGAGGGGAAGAGGAGCAGCGGAGGGCTGATGTTTCGGTGGGGGGGAGGGCGGGTCCGCCTCACTCGGATAGACCCCAGGGGAAGACCAGTTAGAGTCGGCCTGTTCGGAGGCGTGTTGGAGGATCGGGTAGGAACCACTTGCCGCTTTGAAGGGAAGGCCGGTTGTTCTCCTCGGATGTCTGCTTTCGTCGTGGTTCTTTCTGGAGCCGTCTCGTTCGTTTAAAGGCCGCTGTACAAACGGGACGTTCTGCAGGGAAGAACCTTCTCTCCCGAAGCTGGGGGACGGGGAGGGAAAGGGCCAGCGTTGGATGGAAAGGGTGCCTAGAGAATGGGATTAGCCTCGGGGCGAGCCATCCTCTCGAGAGGGAGCGGGGACAGAACAAACCTGCCGTGGGGGTTCCGGCTACCAGGTTGAAGAAAGATAAGCTTGCCAAAAGGCGACCTTGAATGCGAGGGCGGGCACGTCAGAGAATTTGAAAATAGCTGCTTGATTAGCTGGACGACCCAGTGCGGTCTACTGGCTCTAGAAGGTGACTCGGAGGAAGAAAACTCGTTTGGCTCCAAAACTCTAAAAGCATTCTGGAGCGTGAACTCTTGCCACAAATAAAAATAACACATGCATGAAAAACTACGAAGGTACCTAAGCTTTCTTCTATGATGTGAGAATGCGTGAGCATTACAGGCAGAGTTATGTTGGCGCAACTTGCAATAAAGAACGAAGAAAAAAAAGTTACGTTGGCGCAACGGATAGCGCGCTAGTTTCACGATCAAGAGGGCCTAGCTTCGAAACCGGGCAGTGGGTGGTTTTTTCTTCTGTGCTTTTTTTTTAATTTCATTTATTTATTTTTGTTCGGTCACGTGACAAGAGAAATCACATGAACAGAATATTTTTTTTTTGGCCACGTCACCAGATTTTTTTTTTCTTATTTCTCCTTTCCTTCTGTCTTTTTTTTCCTTTTTTTCGTTTCCGCTGCTTTTCGCAAAACCTTTTGCACCTATTTCGCGTTACTTTGGCGTTAGCCAAGTCATTTTTTGTATGGCAGGAAATTCTGCCGTACGTATCTTATGTTACTATTACCAACCCTGGCTTGCAATTCGCATAGAGAATTTCGCCGGGCAACCAGTTTGGAAATGACGAGGCCAAATTTGTCTTATAATTTTTTTTAGGTAAAAGCATAATTTCGGCCTCATTATCCGTCGGTCTCTAATTGGCTCTTCAAGTATATTTTGGGAAGGTAGACGACAGGCATTTTTAGAGAGTACGGGTGTCGACCAGAGTGAACATTGCTGAAGCGCCTCCAGTGTGATTTTGGCCATGAATAACTGGAGGCCCCGGGCAAACCCACCTAGTGTAGAAAAGTATCTACCTTTCTGGTTTCATAGAGAGCTATAAAAGCCAGAAGGGACAAATCCCAGCCGATTCGAGCTACCGGCTTGCAAACGCAATCGTGTTAATAATAGCGCAAAGGAGTTTGTATGACTCTCTCTGGTGGGTGTGCAGAGGGTAAAGGAACGGAGGTAATATATGTTTTTGCCTAGTCACCTCGCGAACGGTTGGAAATTGGCTGCAGAATCCATTTCGCTTTGTTTTATTACCGGGATTATATCTTGATTTCTGTGTTCCTAATCTTACAGAAAAAACGAAATCACTTTTCTCGTGTGGTGTCACGGCGGGGAGACAGAAATCAATCAGTGTACCGAAATGCGACGCTTGTGCTCGTTCTATAGCGCTTTTTAAAACCGTGCGATCACGGCTGTGCAATGTCAACATTGCATAAACTGCCGTTACTTACTCGTATTGCATCGTGAGGGAACAAATGCGATAGTATTGCATTCACTGAACGAGCTATATAAGTTTTCAGATCCTTCCTGGTATGCGATTCGTGTTCTACCAGTGGTCCCTCAGCTAGATTAAAAAACAAAATCCACGTTGAAAAAAAAAAGTTTACGGTGACTCGAGCCGCTCCCGCGCCGAATCAGGTTTCACGTAAGCATAATTTTGGGTTCGATACACGACGAGGGGTCTTCAGTCGTAAAAATATTTTGATTACGATTATTTGCAGCGCTGAAAATTTGAAAGCCAAGCAGTGAAGACAACGGTGTTCTTATAAATATTATATACATTTTATTTTACAATGTTTGAATACGCTTCCGTCGTTATCTTTTTGATTTATTGGCTAGCTTGTGGCGGACAGGGAGGTCTTGCAGGACCATATGATAGGACCTACACTAAACCTGCCGCGCTTCGAAAAATGTTAGTTCAACGCATACAAGCTTGTTCAAAGCGGACGGAGCGTTGCGCATCCGACAAAGCGCATTCGGTCGCGCTGCCCGCGCGACGTCTTTTTTTTTTTTTTTGGGGGGGCAGCGAAATAATTTTTAGTCAAGCAGCAGTCTCCCTCTTCGGCGGGTTAAGCCGGATTAACGGAGGCGTCTTCTAATCCATTCTCCGTGTTGGCCCCTCGGGGGAGGGCGGCAAACAGGTGGCGGAGGGCGATGAAGGAAGGAAAGGAGGGCAGGAGAGGAGGAAACGCAAAAAAAGTGGAAAGCGCGAACTGTACGGCGGCCTTTAAGTTGGACCTGTTTGTGGAGCGAAAGAGCGAAAAGAAAAAAGCCGATGCGGCTTTTTTCTCGGGTGCCTCCGTCGCGCCGCGAGATCTCCGCTGTCCGTCGAACTGAGTCTGCTCGGCGCACGTCCACGTTGCCACAGAGTAGGTCGCAGTGCGATGAGAAATTTGCTCCACAGATGGGCCGTTCCGGCAAGCCGAAGGGCTCGATGTGTCGGCCCCCTGTCATTCCTTTTCGCAGTTGGGACCGCTCGTGAGGTGACGGCACGTATTTTCCACGTGTATTGTGTCTTTTGGCTGCCGTACTTCCGGGTAAACAGCTGCGCTTGGAGTGCTGACTGTATCCCTTGCTCAACGATGGTGGTTGCCCCGCTGCGTCCTTGTCTCCCCGAATCCAAGTAAACTGACGCTCGGAAAGTGATCTTCTCCTTCGGCGTTTGATTGTTGTAGTGTCCTTGCGCCAAAGACTGTCGCTGATGTCGCGCGCGGCGCGTTCCGCGGGCAGCCTTGGTTGTGTGGCAGCTGTGGATTTATCGCGTCGGCCGGCGGAGAGCGCTGCTGCAAAGGTGGGACTCCACGTTCGTATGTTGTTTTCCTCCTGCGACTGTTGTCGGGATGTCGGAGCGAGCGGGGGCTCTTCTATGGTGGACTGCTGATTCTAGTTGTAGGACACTTGGCGTTTGGGATTCGCGTCCCCTGCTCGGGTAAACTCTGTACCACTGTGAGCCCAAAGTTACGTGGTCAGGGTCATTTGGGCACTGAAAGAAAGACAACGGAGACCGATGTGCCCTGTCCTTTCCGGGTGATGTCCAGAATGGTGTGTCTCGAGTGTAGCAAGGTTCGAACGGCTTGCAGGGAGTGTTCGCCGATTATTTGGTGCACCGTTCCCACGAAGGCATTTTCTGGGGTGCCAGGAAAAGCATAGACCTCAATTTCGTCCAGTTTAATAATGAGTATAAGCTTGTCCCTGGTTTCAACGTAAGGTGTGTCAACCGCTATGATGTTTTCTGTAGGGTTGAGGCGAATGTTCGGGATGACATATCTGTTGAACCTGCTCCTGATTTATTGTGCGATTTTGCTTTTGTTCGATGGTTCTTATTGTATTTTTGCCAGCGAGGGTCGAAAAAGCACGGTGTGCAGTCTCTACGTTTGATGTTCGCTGGTTTTGATTGCCCTTTGCGATTGGCGGTGGCTTACTAGCGTGAAGCCGTCCTGCGTCAGGAAATTGGCAGGTGCGCGCTTGGATGGTTCACGCCCACCTGGCGAAGTATGTTTGGTCGGCGCAGTTATCTCGATGGCTTCTCCAGAGGCGTCTTGGCCGATGTGGGGAAAACTGTTTGATGTCAGTATGTGGGGTCCAGATGTTCGGCCGATATTTGTGCTTGGCTCTGGTACCTCGTTCGTCGTTCTCTCGGGACGCATGGCGATGGGGCGGTTTTCGCGCTGAGTTGGACGAGGCCGCAGCACCGAGGAGAGAAGGGAACCCCGCAGGAGCGGTGCGTTAGGTTTCCCTATCTCCTGAGGCGCGTGACGTCAGAGGAGCTGGAGCGGCGTGGTCTTTTTGCGTGTCCTCCGGCAAGATTGCGGCTGGCTCGGATTCGAAAACGTTAGCGGTTGGGGCCATCTTGGATGCTGTAGTTCCTGGTCTGGGTTTTTTTATGCCGACGGGGCGTCGTCCTGGTTCCTTCCTGCGTCTTCTTCAGTTTTGTGGCAGCCGGTGATGGCGTTGCCGTGCCTTGTGTGTGCCGCGGACGTAGTCGTATTGGGCTTCCTGGGTCGTCGCACCGTTGCGATTTCGTTGCAGGCAGTCAAATCTCTCATCGCATATTAGGCAAATAGTCGATGCATGAAGCTTCGAGGCTACCCTAGGCTTTCTCTTGACATTGATTGTTGATTTCGCGCTAAATTAAGTTTTTTTAAATCATCGGTGATTTCAATAAATTCAGTGAAAATGAAGAGCTCACGTGAGGGTGGTGGAGCGGCACTGGCCCCCTATCTGCTTGGGGGCGCGTCAGTAAAATGGAGAAGAATTAGCCGTTGCTACCCTTTTCCTCCATTTATTCTTAGAGTGCAGCCGCGTCGCAAACGGCGCTGCGTAGGGTTTTTAAAGCGCCCCCTATAGGTCCCGCACGGAGTGTATATCTTTACTGTAAACAAAATAAATCTATTTCAAAGTAGACTCCAAGCAACGAGGTAGAGGGCCGCAGAGCGATAAACTGGCATCGGAAAGCGGCCATGCTGCAGATTTTTGACCACTAGATACGTGACCTAATAGTTTTACATCTAGATTTTAACGGAGTACCGCGCAAAAATAATTGCTTATTCATCTTTAATAACATTAACTACGGGATTCCGGTTATTCGCTCTAAGCCCCTGTACCTTGCTGACTCCAAGCCACAATTGTCTCCGCTTAACATAAGCCATGCTACGCAATACACGCGACGATACGTAGCTAAAGACACCAAACCGGTGCAACGAAACCAGCCGAAGCCTTCTTCCCGCAAGCTCAGTGGCTCCGCCATGTCACGGCAGTCGCACAGTGTTGTTAGACCAGGCACTCAAGTTTCCGACCTGCCATCACCGGTTCGACCAGCACTGCCGCCGCAAACATGAGGGGGGAAGTTTTCGTCCGTCTTTCATGCGCCACCAGGCGGCGCTGCATATGAAATGGTGAAATGGAAAGAAGAGAGAAGCATCCTTTCCTTTGTTGGCGACAGGGGGGAAAATCGGTGTTTCCTCCATTTGTAAAAAAAAAAAAAAAATTGGGTTGTGTGTGTGTTTATACAGCCTAGAACTTGGTCTGCCTCACAGGGGCGACGAGTCTCCCAGCTGTAGATGAGCAATTTAGCCAGTGCAGTACAACCGCTAGCCTGGGGTCTTTAACGTGCATCACGCAGTAGTGATACACGACCGCACGCCGGTACGATGCTCATCCAGATCGAAACGGGCAGGGGTGGGGCTCGAACCCAGGATCCCTGGGTTCTGCAGCGCGAGCTTTCGCTCCACGTGCTCCGAGCTTGTGTGCGCTAGACCACTCGGCCACCGATCCCCCCTCCTCCATTTGTACTCGCTGTTTTTAGAGTGTTTTATCTTTCCCGACCGGCTCGCCAGCATAGCTTCGCTTCTTGACACCCAGATATTTAATCTGTTTTCAAATAGGGGGAACAAAATAATAAAAGAAATGAACGCGTGTGCCGTAAACTTCTAAGAAAAAAACAAGAACACGAAAATAATGAACTGAGATATTTCTCATTAAAGCTGACGTTTACGCCAATCACATTTTAGTCCCGGAATCGGCTTGGTGCAGCGTTGCCGGCGATAATAAATTTCGAAACGTCTTTAGCGTCTCTTCCTCTACGCCCCTTCAGGGAGAAGAGAGCTGAAGCGCAGTCAAGTGCGAAGACGAGGTTATTAAAAACGAAAAAGTGACTTAAAAGGAGCAGGGCACCTGTGATATCGCGAAACGGTACTGCAACATGTCCAGAAACACCGTTTTAAACGCTTGTCTATGCTACATTGAAGCGAACAGGGCTCATACGTTATGTGGCACTGATTCTTTTGAATATATTGATGGCATCTGATGAATAATAACTCAATGAGCTTCCTTCGCATTACAATCTAGTTTGAAATTTTGAAGAGTGTGTTTGTACTTCAGTTTTTTAACGTGAATTTCATGTCCAAACAAGTTGCTTCTCCTCGACTAATGCACATTTCATTTATTTTCAGGAACGTCGTTGAACGTAAACCTCGATGGCAACGCAAGGATGAATAGTGAATCCCAAATAATAGAACAGCGTGAGCGTTTTCTTTAAATGCGAAATTGCTTCCTGCTTAAGTTACGTTTGTTTCACGGGAATACGAAGATATCAGGTTATTTTTTTAATTTACTGGGCTTATGCTATATGTGATTGTGACTCGAACAACAATGGTTAGGCAGTCTAATTTACAATCAAGAAAAAGTTTAGCAACATAAATATTGAAGTAATTAAGACATAAAATGTGGTAGCGAAGAGCAAAACACCTTTTTGCAGATAAAACAGACGTGTAAATATTTTATTTTACCCGATGCCACTAATACCTTTGTTATCTCGCCCCACAGCTTTACTAAGAGTTGTATTATGAGGAGGAAAGACGAAAAGGATATAATCGAACATACTCTATTGCTGAAAAATTTCTCTAGCAAAGATTTATTCTAATAGTATGCGCCCTCTGGCGCGGACGGACACTCTTTGATATTGAGTGGTTTTGCAGAAATACTTCATTCGACAAGCGCAACATTTCGTGTTTTCCACGCGATATTCTGTCCCAGTTAATACATATCCTAGTCAAGTCATGTGCCTAGCGTTTCCAAATCACTAAAGTTTGCCTGATGCCTGTACTGGAGAGAAGACCCATCCAATATTTTTGAGTTAAAATGAAAATTTTCATTAGGCGAATGTTTTGCGAAACCAGCGTACATATATTACGGTGTAACTATTTCATACCTTACAATATGCAAAATCAAATATTAAGACTCAGACGAAAAATGTTTACGTACGTATGTTTCCAGGAATAAATCAACATAGGGCAAGCTATCAGGAAAGTAAGTTTGCACCTCTGAGGCTCCAAGTCAAGCTTGTTTCCGCGCGAAAGACACCAGCCGATATCTCACCATTTATTTTTCTTTCAGGTCCTAAACGTAAAACACAAAAACAACAAAAAAAATTGGTGAATGTATCATCGGAAGCATACATTCATAATAGACAAACAATTGGCTAATTACATTGCATTTCTGTGAACAACGCAACTGCAAGGGTTGCGTTCATTTAAAGAAAACCTGAATGCGCAGTCGCACTGAGATAAACAACAACCCAAGTTACATGCAGTAATCCTCGATATTGCTTTCATGTGATTATATTTGCTTCTATAATCTATTTATGTGTTCTCTAGCGAGATGATTGGGGTGGTTCTTTTCAAAAACACTTCAACGCTTCAGATAAGAATAATATTTTTTCAAGTGCCTGAAATAGTTCATCGCCGAGTTCTAAACGTGGGTGTTTTTAGCTGTTATTCCAGGCTTGAAAGGATGCCTTTTCTGGTTGAAAACAAAAACTAGTCACAAGTGTAATGGAACAACACTTAGTGTAAATGTAGAAAAGCGAAGACATGATGAGACACAATAGTTGTTGCCTTCCTGGTTTTGCTGTGTTTGAACGATCATTGATAGAAAGCATTTTTACATATAAAGTTGTCTAAAATATTGAACCAAGTAGATGATCTTTTTGTCAACTACTCCTTCTCTTTTGCAGGTGAAATATATACTGGAGGTTCAGCACAACTTGTACTTTACCTGCTTTATAGTCAAGGGCACAACAACCTTCTTAAGGATGAATCAACTGGGTATTTCAGCAAATTTATAAAAAAGGTTAGTACATATGATGACATTGCCAGAAAAGAAATTAACTATTTTTCAGATAACGCTGGAATATGGTCTCCAATTTAACCCTACGTCCTTGTTCGAATAGCACTTGTATCAGTGAAATTACATATAAACAGCGACAATTTGGATGATTGAAAGATTAATATTTTCGCGAATAATATAGTTTCAACATTGAATCAAATAAATCTACCTCAAAACTAATTGCCCATTCGGCCCTTTCCGAAATTTCATTTGGCACTCATGCGACGCTGCCTTGGCGATCCTTTGAAGTGCGGTTAGGCAGTATGATCGCGCAAGGAGCTGCCATTAAAATGTATGGCCTCGCGATCGCGAGCAGAATCTCTGCGCGTCTCAATTCCTTGTCGTGAACCTGAAGTCTGATTGATATTTCATATTCGTACCCCGTGGATAAACTAAATGACTACTACGTCAACCGCAAGACGAGCGACCAGAATTAATGGCCCAACTAGTTCAAGTTTGTGAGGAATGGATATGTGGAAAGTATCTTCGTGCAAACTGACAACTTTTTTTTTTGTTGGTTCGTAATCAGGTGATTGAGTCGGTTGCGGCGTTTTTGTTGGCGACGCTGTCAACATTGGCGACGGAGTCGCTTGTCGCGTCTTTGTTGGCAATCGACGATTGAGTTGATGGCCGCGCCGTCGCCGTTGATGTCATGAAGTCCACAATTGCGATTGCGTCGCTTACCGCATCTTCAACAGCAGCAGTGGAGAAAGTTTGCTTCGTCGGCAGAGGCATCGTTTAATACGCGGTTCCCTCCTCAATGCCTTTTTGCCAACGTTGCAAGCAAAAAAGCTAGGAACAGCTACTTTCATCATGAAGCGGCGGCCACCAGCAAGATTCGAAGGGTTGCCAGTCTGCGTAAACTGCTTCGAGCCAAGGCTTGTATATTTTGCTTTGTTAAGTGTTCTTTTCTCTGTCGTCTACTTTCAAAGCAATTACCTTGTTGCTTCGAAAATTGCCCTACCCCAAAACCCAATATAACTTTTCGATACTTGGATTATGGAACAAGAAATTTGTAAGGGCTCTGGCAAAGACAGCTGGTTTCTCTGCGGGCGACGGTCGTTTTGTTTAGCGGTGCGTAGGCTGCTTCTTCGGTGGCCCGTTTTTTTGTGTTGCTTTGTTTGTCGGACAAGCGTCTTCCCCAGCGAACTTCCCCTCCGGCTGCGTGCATTTCATATATGTCCTTCCTATAGTGGCGGGGGTGGGTACGTCCCGAGCCCCCTTCAAAGGCCGATCGGGTTTCTGCAGAGGTGCCCTGGTGGCGGCGGCCAACTATGCAGCGGACTCTTTAAGTTCTCGTCGGAGCTGGTAGCCAGGGTAGGGTCCGTTGCATTGGTGACGAATGGCAGTGCCGATCACTGGTCCGTGAGCGCCACGTGCCTTTGACCAGGCGTAAAACAATTGGTCAACCACTTGTCTGATGGCGAGGAGGTCGAATCCCTCAAAAGCCCACGGCCGGGTGAATGAGCGCGATTTTTTTTTACAGTGATCTGGATCTCTTAACGGGTCGGACGAGGAATCCCCTACTTTGTAGATAAGAGACTGTGTATATTGTTTGTAAAAAGTTTTCATGAAGACATAGTGTAAATAAACAGTTTTGAACTGTACGACCACGAATCCTCTGTCGCACTTCTCTGATCCTGGTCACCGAAGAACACCTTATCTACCCTCGCGGTTCCGCAACAACAACCACGTATGACCCAAACGTCAACATCGTGGAAACCAACCCATCTTTACTGGCGCAGCCGACAGGATAAGCGAGCCTCGGTGAGGATTAGAGAATTAAGACAGTGACAGAGGTTGTCAAGTTGAAGGTTCCTGGCCGGCCAACTGCTTAAAAGGAGCGATCTACAGAAGCCACGACCATCAACCCTGAGCGTCAGGGATCGGTTCTATCGAAGTAGCCTGGCCGGTGGAAGGCGGCACATGCTGCACATCAACGGAGAAACTACGTGGGTCGTCGAAGAGCGACGCTGAAGGACCGGTACTGAAACCACGAACATCAAGGATCGAGAGTTCCGATGCCGAGGCCAAGAACGACTACTGAGGGCGCCACATCCGGCTATAAGTGTCAAACTGCTGGAACATTTGCGCCGGGTGAGTCGGATTTCATGCGTCTATTCGAGGGTGGCATGGATGTTAGTTTGCCGGACTTATGGTTTTGACGCGTCGGATGTTAGCTGACATGGAGAACATCTTGAATGTGGAGAACTCCTAGGGTACTAGGAGCCGCTGGACAAGGGCAGGGGGCGTCAGAGGGTGCGAGAGGAGGAGAAGCGAATGCGGTCGGAATTCGGAGGCTCTAACTCGAATTTGAGTTTCGGAGAGTGCAACGTCAGATTGAGTCCGATGAGCGGATCGGTTTGTGCAGAACAGAGCTAGAAATTGAGTGGTTGACTATCCTCCTCTGGGTCGGAAACGGAGAATCAACGGCACGCAGGTTTAAACCCGGGGGAAGGGCTGAGAGAACTCAAACTAACGCCAGCTGAGTACCTAGACAGGTTCGACAGGGCAGCCAAAAAAACAAACAAAAAACGATGGAATATGGGCTCTGTTCACTTCCCGCGTTCGATCTACTTCACGTGCTACCTCCAGGTAAGAGCTGCGGATACAAAGGAGACAGTAACTGAGCTCATGGTTGCTGATCAAGTTAAGGCGAGCCTGAGTACCGATGGTCTGGAGTACGTTCGCCTTTGCGATGGTGAGACTTCATTAGAGCCGGTTGAGGGGGCGAAGGCGTTACAGACTTATCAGCAGGCAAAAGGGAAAGGGCGCGCCACGAAGCAGGTGTCCGTTCCAGCAGACAGTACGGGACTCGGCGATTTTCAGGGTTTAAGTGTCCCGGGAACTCTGGCCAAGCGACTGTAAGATGCCATGCATGTCAGCAGAAATGACACATTGCAAAACTCTGCCTTCGCGCTGCGGGTAAGTAAAGGTCTCAGAAGCTGTCAAATTTGTTTAAACCAAAAGGGCAAACGGACAGAGCGTTAACCGCTCACGTTGCTGTGAGGCGGTCGATTTCGGAGAAGGGCAGGTCGAAGTCCCAGTTTGTTCAGCTGGCGTGCGGCGATGTACGCCCCGAGGCGGTACCGGACACGCCTAACGAAATAACGGTAGTACGGAAAAGCCTGCTGCCTCAAACCTTGAGGGAACCGTCGGGCACGGTGAAGCTAGTGTCCGCCTTTGTCTACGTCATTCAGGCAAAGCTGTCAACACTTCCTGTATGATTGATCTGTCCAGGGGCAGCAGAAAATCCCCCTAAAACACACTTAGTGTGCGCGCTTACCGATCAGCTGGTTGAAGGAGTGAACTGTTTGTTTTCCGAAGATTGGGAATTTTCGAAAGCTCAGGTTGGTAAGACCAGTTCATCGATTGAAGTTCATTGATGTTCACACAGATTGTGAACATCGATGAACTTTAATGTCTCCCGTTAAGCTTGCCTCGAGTGTCCAGTGGCCGTACGGGTTTTGTTGTGACGGGGCAAGTCCGACGACAGTAACGTATGATTGGAAGAGAAAGCATGATGGCAGCTATTTGATGCCTGACGATTGGTCGTGTCACTTTCCTAACTAATGTGCGGAGTCTTTACGGAGAATATGCATATATCTATATCTATCTATCTATCTATCTATCTATCTATCTATCTATCTATCTATATATATATATATATATATATATATATATATATATATATATATATATATATATATATATTTATATATATATATATTGCCGCGCGCGCAGCTGCTAAGTAGGCAGCGCGGCCGTGGCCTAACGGTTATCGTGTTTGTTTCCCACGCAATGAGCTGGGGTTCGATTCCTGCGAGAGAAGTGTCTTTTATTTATTCTTTCTACTTGTCATTCTCGCAAGTTCGAGAACTTTCTCGTTTCACCCAGTTAAGAATGTTCTACGCCCCGATCGTTCTAGGCCGGATGTTCCAGAAACCCACGCCGGTACAAAAGGCGTGGAGAGCCGGGATCAGTTTTTCGCCCCAGCGCTCGACTGTGCTGTCTCGCCGACCTCGACGCTCGCGACGCATTTTTATTATTTTCTATTCCCTTTTTGTTTTGGGCGCAAGTTCGCCACATTAAACGTTTATTTATTCCTGTTCATTTATTGTTATTCTGGTCACCACCCGTGACATTCTGGTGGAGGTGCGGGGCACCGCATGTCCGTGCAGCGCACCCCTCCGAGTTCCCGCAGTACGAGTCCAAACCCAAGCTCCCGAGGACCCAACGAAGACACCACCGAGACCCGAGTAAGTCGCCGTATCCACGGCCTAGACCCGGAATACGGACTGCTGCCAACCAAGACCAAGCAAACAAGGAGGACGACGATGGCCAACCAGTCGGAGACCCCGGCCGCTCCTGCCGTTGTTTACCTGCCCGTTGTACCTCGGACGGCTACTCCCTTCCACGGCGAGCAGTACGAAGACGTCGAAGACTGGATTGACCAGTATGAACACGTTGCCCGCCACAATTGCTGGACCGACGAGCAGCGCCTGCACAATGTCTATTTTTCGCTTGAGGGGACCGCCAAGCACTGGTACGAGAATCATGAGTCCTCCCTGACGTCGTGGGACATTTTCAGGACCGATCTTAAGGCTACATTCATGAACCACCACCGCCGAGAGACAGCCGAGGACGTACTGCGAACCAGAACCCAAGGGCCCCAACGAGAGTGTCACCGGCTTCGTAGAGGACGTCCTGCGCCTGAGCGCCCGCGCCGACCCTCGGGCTACAGAAGAGAAGAAGCTACGAATCCTCATGCGGAGCGTGAGAGAAAACATCTTTGGTGGCCTTGTCCGCAGCCCTCCGACAACTGTCGAAGATTTTGTCGCCGAGGCAACGAACATTGAGCGTGCCCTGCAAGCCCGAGCCAGTCACTACAACCGACTCGCTGACATGCCTGTTTCTTCGACGCTGGCATCGTCCCGAATCGACGAGGGCCGCATCCGCGCTGA